TAAAAAAACTAGAGGTCTCTGTGGTGGATGTAAAGATTGCAACTGTGCTGACAATTCATTAGTGTTAACATGATGCTATTGTCATAGTTTATTGTAGTTTTCAGTTTATTTTAAAAGCCTAGAAAATTTCATCAGAAATACCAAAAGAATATTATTAAGGATGGAGAATATTATTATGGCTAAAAAATCCAGTCCTTAGAATTTAGGCAATGTCAAAATGAAAGCTCTCTAAACTTTCTGAATTACACTGTAAGGTTTTGATCAATCACATAACTCTTCAGCTTTTTCTAGGAATAAGTTAGTGTTGTGTATGAAAGCGGAATGGTCTTTGAAGTCTTTATGTGTTTGCTAGAAAATGTGTAGTGAATGCAACATTGGATTGTATGAAGGAAAAGGATGGTCAGGGCAGTTTAGTGCTGCTGTAACAGGAATAATTCTGTTCCTACCTCTGCAGAGTTCTTGTATGATAGCAGGCAAAAAGACAAAGCTATGTATCTCAGAGGTGGTCTCTCTTTCTTATTTTTTTGAGTTCCTGTGTTGCAAAAATGTGGTGGTATTTATACAAAACACTATACTGTACTTAGTACTGCAACTGAAGCTAAATATATGTTTGCTTCTAAAATGCTTAAAATAATAGATACTCTGTAATATTAAAATCTCAATGTCTTGAATTGGGCATTCAAATCTAGCAAGCACGTCTGGATTAATTTTTGTCTTTTAACTCACCTAGCAGTAGATTTATGGTAATAAATGAATGTTAGTGAAGTATTAAATTATTGTAATGATGATTATAATCTCACGGTTTGAAAAGAAATTAATTCTATAATCAGAATTATCATACTGTTTCAGTTGTATTGTAAAGGAGGCTTGAACTAGATGTTGAACAATGGTGTAAAACAAAGCATTTTATATGTTGTCATTAAACACTTGTCACCCAGATTTTGCATAGAATGAAACAGCATTTAAACAAAAAAGAGTGACTATGTTTTATGGGAAAAAGGGTAATATAAAAAAGCATACCTATGTGGAGCATAGAAAAAAATGGAATTAGACTGCCCATGAGTGTAATTCTGGATTTTCAGGTATTTGAATGCATGACTGAAACTGTTGAATTAAATTTCAAAGTATATATTCATGGGCTCATTTTGTAAAGGAATTCTCTTTAGATTTTAACTTCTAACTGTTTTAAAAAGTAGAAACAAAACGTCGCAGAAATGTAGCAGAAGTTTTGTTAGCAAACTGGCTACAGTTGTTGGAAACAATAATAAAGGTTACTTCAGAGTCATCATGGTTTTTAATAGCTGCTTATTCTTAGCAAAACCAGAAATGTTAGCCACAAGTTTTGAAAGTGGAAATCAAGCATGTTTCTGATAGATTCTGATATGAGAGGTTCGAGTACATGGTTCAAGCCTAACATGATTGTCTTTCATCTTCTTTCTGTGATGTGGAGTAGCCAGTATTTTTGTAATTTGAATCTGTTGTTAATCTTGATCTTTTTTTTTTTTTCAGAGCAGCATTTTCTTTTGTGCATGAAAATTCCATATGTTTGTTTTAGAAAGTTTTCCAGTTACCATTTTTGTTGCAGAGACTGTGCAGTTGATCCAACTTGTGTACTCTGTATGGACTGCTTCCAGAATAGCATTCACAAGAACCACCGGTACAAGGTAGAAAAATCTTAAGAAATTGTACTTGTAGTTTTAGAGAAGATTTTTTGAGGATATAATAAACTGCATATAAACCATTAGTAATTTTTATTTAGAAAAAAATTAAAATCTGGGATTTACTAATTAGTTAATTATCTGTCTCTCATGTTTCTAACTATGTAAAGCCTCCTTTAAGACCAGTAACTTTCTAATTCAAGAATCAAAGGGTAAGGGAGTATTTATGAATGCATACATTGTTATTCTCTTTGGCAATATCACAGAAGTGTATGTCAGAGTAAAATGCTGGGACTGAAAATGAACAGTCCTGTCCTGAGTCCCAGTCAGTACTGTTAAGAAATTTAGAACGAGTGTGTGTATACAAGGGCCGTTACTTCAGCACTTATGTCACTGATGCACTCTTTACATTTCCACTCTGTTCCTCCATTTAGATTTGCACAAACTGCTTTGTGCTTAGTGTGGACCATGATAAAGTTAAAACATCTTAACAAAAGTTAACAAACTTAACAAAAGTTAAGCATCGTTTTTTTATAAGGAGATTGTTTGAGAACTGGATTGTCTCTTTCTGATATCCTTTTGATTCTCTTTGAGCCAAATCTATATTATCTTTGAGAGTCCCATGCTTTAATTAAAGAAGGATCTTTTCAATAATTCTTAGCTAACTCACTTCCTAAACTGTCATCTGCTATTTCTTTCCCAGACCCCCTTTTTTCTTGCCCTCTTCACTGAGAACTCTGTAATTTCAATGGCCTTGGAAGCAGAAGTGGAAAACAGTATATTAAGTGTAATTTTTAAAGCTGGTCTAACTGTGCTGCAAGAGGCAAGAAAACGTGCAGAAACATTATGTATTCAATTTAATTATCTTTCATGTACAAAAAGTGGGCTAGTTTTTTTTGCAGCCATTCCTTCTATTTATTGACATGACATCCATTGAAGAGATTTGTCTTACTCATGTTATCAGTTGGTCATAAATCCCCTTTGAGAGGGTATGTTTCGGTGAGAGACAGTTTGGAAGAAGGTCCTAGCGATCTCAAAATTAACTGGGACTAAAATACAATATTCTGCCCCTCTGTATAAGTCTTCTGTACTGATCTGAAAATGTATTGTGAATATTGATTCAAAGATGTACAAAACTACTTGGATAATGTAAATATAACTTCCATATACACACACATGCACACACAGAGTCTACGGAGGGGTAAGATGAAAACTAGGGAAAATAAGCAACAATGATCACAGAGCAGTTTGGAATCGGAGCTGGGCTGAGAAGCTGTTATCCTTTCCCTGTTTTTCGGTAACTTCTTTAGGGAGAACATTAGCTGTGGAAATAGGTAGTCAGATTTGCTGCATTTCCATTTTAAAGATACAAGCTAAAGAATACAGATGATACTCTTTATAGATTCATAGAATAATTTAGGTTGGAAGGGAGGTCACCTAGTCCAACCTCCTGCTTGAAGCATGTCTAATTAGATCAGGTTATTTTAAAATGTTTCAAGTAAATAACAAATTCTTGAATATATTTTTATTGGGTCACTTAGTGTTTCTATAGTTATTTTAGGACTGGGGATTTAGAGTAAGATAAGGATAATTATTTTTGCCTGAGTACTGTCTGAACTTTTTGCCAAAATGAAGGATCAGAATTTGTACTTCTCTGAAAGTGTAATGCGAAGTTAAAGTTGCAAGAATGTGTTTAGATGCTGATTATATCTTATTTTCTTTGGTTAGAAGTGAAGATACTACTAAATGTCTGTTTACTATACACATATTCTTGTTTAGATTATTTTCAAACTTTACTGAGTAATTTGTAAATAAGGCATTAAGCACCTTTGCTATAATTTTGCTAATAAGACCAGAAATTATTATTTTGCCATTTATGAAGCATTTATTCATCAGCCAGACTTTTCCAAGTACTTTTTAGTTAAATTTGTTAAGACTTGCATACTTTTTTGCAGTGGCAACTGTATTATTTTGCCATTTATGAAGCATTTATTCATCAGCCAGACTTTTCCAAGTACTTTTTAGTTAAATTTTGTTTAAGACTTGCATACTTTTTTGCAGCGGCAACTGTATTTCCTCTTTTATTTTCTACTCAAAAAGTTTACATTTTTTTCCCTCCGCTCCTCTGATAAGTCTCCTTTTATCTAAAAAAAGAAAAAAATGTTGTGGTAAGTCTGTTGCTTTTGCAGTGACTCTTGTATTTTATAAGTAGGTATTTATACTTGTGTTTGACTTAAATAGTGCACATTTCTGTTTTTCTCTTGCTTTTTATATGCATATTTCATGACTGAAATACATGTTTTTTACAGATGCATAGCTCTACTGGAGGTGGATTTTGTGACTGTGGTGATACAGAGGCATGGAAGGCTGGACCGCTGTGTACTAAACATGAGCCTGGAGGATCAGGTTCTGCAAAAGAAGTAAGAATATTGCTTAAAGTGAAAGAATAAATATTGTAAATATTGCCTTTTTAAAAAAGTGCTTATTCCTGTATGTGAAAGTATGCATATTGTGTAAGTCACGTAGCAGTTCCAATCGGGTTGAATCAGGATTTCCTTGATCAAGGTGTTTGTTGGGGTCAAACATACATGTTGTCCATCCTTTGTCTCCATGCAAAAGGCAGAAACAATAGAACAGTTCTATCTACGTTTCTTGTGTGTTTCTGTCTTTGATTCGGAATTAAAATTGCAGTCCCTTGCTCTTTTCTGTGTGTTATTGCTCAGTTCTTATTTACCAACAATTGGTTTCCCAGTGGTTCGTAAATGTTTAGATATGGTACTTGATTTTAATAATATTTTCTTTTTTCCACATTACTGAACAATTTTTTTGTCAGTTACTTCTGCTGTGTGATCTGTCACTATGACTAAAATAAGTCCCTATGCTTTAAAACTAACTTCTTATGCTAGGATGTCTCATGCTTATTGTACCTCATAAATCAGCATATTAATGAGAAATATGCCATCCTATAAGTAGTTCTGAAAGAGAACGTAGGCAAATCAGTTGCTTCAGGTAAAACTGTGTTTTTCAGAGTCCTACATTCTGGGATAATCAGGACAAAAAAACCTTAGCATTCGTCATGGCAAATAGACCCCTAATTCTTCCTGGTTTTGTTGCAAAAGTACTGTTCTTTATGATCTGGCAAAAAATCAAATGGAAAAGGAGTAAATAGCACTGGTCTTACCGAAAAATGAGACGAAGTTGATGAAGTTTTCCTTCACTGTTCATCCTTCAAAAAACCATAAATCTTAATGGATTTCAGAGATAAAAATAGTTGAAGCTCCAAGAAGGGGTCATCTAATTACCACTTGGAGCTTGTCACTGTAATGTTCACCTGCTTCTACCTCAGTAAAGTCTATTCTGCTGTGCAGTACTTATTCCTCAGTACTCAGCCATCTGATATATGTGGCTGATGCCTACATATTACTTAAGAAAACCTGTAATCAGAAGAGCCAAATTGTTTCCTCAATGTTAGCATGCCCCAAAATAGCTATGGTATAGTTAATTTTACTGCTGTCACTGTTGCTACATATGTGTTATACTTCTTCCAGCACGTTCTAGAGGTATTTCCAGAATAAGGAACTAGCACCCTTCCTCTTTGGGAAGTATTAATTTTCATCCTTGCATTCTGAAGGAAAATAGGTTTTTTTTTTGTCGTCGTGTCCTCCCCACCCCCGCTAGATTCCTGGTACTGTTGATAAAGACATACAGGAAGGTAGGGAACTCGTGTGTCTACCAGCTTCAAAGCCACCTTTGAATACTGTGGAAGATTTATGTTACAAGATGCTCGGTATCAAATTTCTCGCTGATTGCTGCAAGGTCCTTATCACAAAGAGAATTTAGCAATGATCTAAAGACAAAATGTTCAATTCTCAGTTGAGAGTTAAGTGTTGCTCCACTTGAAAATTAAGTGTTTCCAGTCAAAGCATCTCCATTACTAGATAAGTGATATTACTTATGCCTCAGGTGGTCAGTTTGTCCAGTTTGTCTTACAAACAGTAGCGAGCATACATTATGGATTTCACCTGTGATGGCTCACAAAAAGCCATACAGATACCTGGATGAGCATGGACCTATGAGGCACATGAAGAACTTCAACAAAGACATTCTAAACAAAATAGATTGTATCTCCCAACTTTAAAATTGAGTTGTTTCAGCACTTTACTTTTGAGAATAATAGTACTTTTCAGTTTCAACAACTCTGACTGGAGTCCCTGAAATGGTTTATGAAATGTTTACTTCCTGCTGGTGGACTTGTTTCTCTGCAAGGTATAGATTTTGACCTCACAGATCTGCTATTTGCATCTGTGACAGTATATTCTGCTTTTTACTTACCTTTTCTTTAGAACAGCTTTTTCATAACAATAAAATAATAACCCCCCCCCCCCGCAAATGTTAGGAGAAACACCAAAGCCTTTGTCAACTTTACCAAAAGGCTGTTTCACTCTTATTAAAATCACAAATTGTTAAAATCTTGTTAAATCACAAATTGTAGATCAAATCTTGTTAAAATCCAAATTTTGTGGGCTTTTTTCCAAAACCATATTCAAACAAAGCTTGAGAGGAAACTGCATACATTCAGAGTCCACAGCATTTTATTTCTGTTTGGATGAAGATAAGCTGCTCAGAGTATTCTTCAGGCCATTTATATCCAATGGAGATGAGGTTAAAGGATCAATTATATCAATAATGAAAGCACTAACACAGTATCTCTTGGTTTTAAACTTTATTGAGAACTGTAATTATACCTATGATGATAAGGAAACAGGGAACCTCCCATGCTTCTTTGAGTAATATTTCTCTTCTGGTCTTTGATAAGGTCTTTGATTCTTTTGCAGTGGATTTGTTAGATCATCACTTCTGTCATGGAGTTGTGCAAGTCCAAAGCTATGTTACAATTGCTGTCAAATAAACTGGAATGTACTCCTACAATGAGTGCTACCTGAGGGTTGTGAATGGTAGAAAACATTTGATTAGACAATTATTTGAATTTGAAGAAGTAGAAAGTTACTTTTTACAATAGCTCTTTGTTGTGAAGATATGTAGTTATTATGCAGTCAGTATACACAGACTAGTAAAGTGGCAGAAGTACAACCATTACAATAATGAAATGCATCAGTATATTAATAGATCTTACATGTAACTGTTTGATAGATTGTACTGCCTCACCATCTTCCTTTTTTAATAAAAGACTTGTCCGTCAGGGTTTTTTTATGACAAAGAGGCTTGTGGGTTTGAATTACCTCATAGTTTGTTCTCTGTTTTGAGAATCAAGGACATTCATAATGTAGGAATTTTCTCAGCATATAATGCTTATTGAAGCAAGTTGCAAAGCGCATTTTGAACAGACGTCTTGCATATTTCTTTTCCAGCATGTTTTCTGATGGTATAGAAGTTTATCACATGCTTGTCAAACAAAAAGCACTATATTCTGGATGATCCTGACCAATATTCTTTTAATTACTGTAAGCACAGAGGATATATCATGCTAGGATGTTTATAAACTTACTCTGATCAGGTAGGAGCAAATAAGAGGAGGAGTATGTTTGCGGTATGTTTGTTTGCTATGCAGAATGTGACAAAAATGTGCCTAGGAACTGGCTGATATTTTTAAAAGGTAGATTGAGTTCAGAGTTTGATCTGCAGAATGACCTCTTTTTAAAAATGAGCCCTTAGTAGAGGACAGGTTTCAATCTACAACATTAAAGATAAGCACCAGAGTTTTTAGCATTTCTGAGATAATAAGAGGTGAGCATTAGTAAAATACAGTATCCTTACAAAAATCCTAATTAAACCTTAGTTGGTTTTTTTAAAAAGTTTTACAATGAGGAGATATTTACGGAACTTGTTGGTATGTATATAATATGGGGCTCAGAAAAGCAATCCTTTGTTTTAGAATCCCCACTCCAGGCTTTTAGGAGTCATCCATTCCCTATTGATTCCAAACAAATCTCTTCACTGTGCCAAAAACATAGAAACCTTTTTGCCTAAATCTATACTTAAAAACAGCTAACTTTAAGAATACGTGTCTGAGATAAGGTAAAAATACTTCCCAGGCACATTTGTTTAAAAATAACTAACAATTATTTTTTTTTAAACTTTGATATCTGAACATGCTTTATTCGTTCTTTCACAAATTTGTTTTTTGAAGCTTTACCTGAAGCTTAAATAATTACCCTTTTTTGGGTGTAGTTCTGAGGCAATTTTATTTTTACCCTTTCAATTTACATTAGATGTATCTGAATTTCTTTTTACTGTGACTTCTATTAATGTGAATAGCATTGGAGGTGACACTGCATCATTTAAGTTTTCACTATTTGTATGAGTGTAATCCCCACTTTTAGTAGTTTTTATAAATCCTTTGATGTGTTTTCCTTTGATTTCTTCTACAGACTGGAGGAGAGCAGCATGTCTTACTACAAGGTTCTTGTTTGGAGTATCTCTGTGCACAGCTCTGCGTTTTCTCCAGCTCTATAATTTTTGTTTTACACTAAGTACTTAAAAAGACAAACTCTTAAGAAACACTGGGTCAAAAATTTAGTGTATTTACAACTCAGTTCATTAGATTGTTCTTAGCTCTATAGTTTTTTTCATTGTGCTCCAGCCTTTAAAATGATGATAGCTTTGTCAGTCTGGCAGAAAAATAATTACTCCAGATATTTACATTCTTAATTACTGAGATCTACTACTAGCTTATCCAAAATCAAGTATGTACACACAGTGATATTTATAGACCATGATTTCATTGGCAGACATTTTAGATTGTATGCTTGACTCCAAATTATTCTTCTAATGCTTATCAGATCAGAAAACTGTTGTTCAGAGTGTTGGAAGCAATTGGTCATGGTAACGCATTTTTAGTTCTCCTCTACTACATTTTTAGCTGTGGAAAACGTCATCAAGGCCTTTGAATTAAAGCCACCTTTTCACACAGTGTTGTTGCAATGTATCTATGTCTTGTACCTGAATATTGATCGCTTTGTTCTTAAGTGCAGATTTGGTGATGATTTTCTTTGCTTATAATCTTGATTTCTCTCCTGCTTAAATGCATATGGAAACGATTAATAATGTTGTATGATGCAGACAATTCACTTAATGAGCTTAATGGGTGGATGGGAAACATATCAGTTCACAGGGATATTTGGAATGATTTCTAGATCTGGGATGGGATCTCTGAAAAGAACAGTTAGGTTTGCTTGGATAATTGTGTTCAAGGAGTATCATTACTGTGTGACAGAGTACCTGCACAGAAGAGCAAGCAATGCAGGGGAAAAAATTTGATCTGGACTGTAATCTTTTGATATCTTCAGGTGTACATAAAGCTGTTAACAAGCTGTTAAGTTTAAAAAAAATTTTTCCTAACACATTTGGTGCGATCTTTTGTAGTCTATTCCTAGATAAAAACTAGATGTGCCTAAAGGAGAAAAAAAAAAAGTAGGTAAAACTATTGGGCTACTACTGGAAACCCTTGGGATTAAATAATTTTGAAGAGAAGAAATTAGGTGAGGTTAATTTGCTTGAAATTCATGAAAAAGCTGAGTTCCTGAAACAAATATAGTAATTAGGTATTCTACCGACCCTTTTTTAATTTTCTAAATTTCTTTTCCATATTAATACTATCTCTTGTTTTACAGAATTCTGAATGTCAGTTGAATGAAGAAATTATGGAGCACTCTAGGAGGGTGTTTCCCTCTGTGATAAAATACATTGTAGATATGCTTATATGGGAAGAAGAGAAGGAACTGCCTCCAGAGCTCACAATTAGGTAGGGAGTATTTCCAGCTTTCTCTTCAAGGCATTAGAAACTTTGATAATAGTTTTGCCTGTGGTATTACACTCATGCAAACATACTAGTGCCAAAATCCCTGCTACAGCACTGTAGCATTTTTGACCTACAGTTAGATGGAGAAAAGCTTTTGATACTTCATGGGAGAAGTAGTTTGTGATTGCTCCATCAGTTGCCAAGGGGAACTGCTCTGAGGCTGGCCTGATCCACAGTGGAGCGGCAGATCTTGGTGCACAGGGGATTTTCCTGAGGCAGGGTACGGCCTTCGGACTATTACCCATTACTGCTCTTTGATGTGGGCGATGATGAAGCTGAAATGCATAGTCCAAGGGTGATCAAAACAGACTTCAGGGCTTTGGGATAGTTGGTAAAGGAATCTGGAGCACAGGTTATTTTTTCCTCTCTCCTTTCAGTTGTGGGCAGCGACATTGGAAGAAATAGATGGGCCCAGACTGTTAATATATGGCTCTGTGGCTGATGTCACTGCCACAGTTTTGGGTTTTTTTTGATAACGGGTTGGTGTACATGGCATCAGACTTGCTGGTACCAGACAGTATTCACCTTTCTCAAAGGGGGAAGAAGGTCTTTGCTCACGAGCTACCGGGGCTCATTGGTGGAGCTTTAAACTAGACTTGAAGGGGAGAGGGATAACATCAGGCTTGCCCATGACAAGCCGTGGGATGACACGCCAAGGTCAGAGGGATGGGGTGCTAGCAAAGGCGCTCAACCAGTTGCTCTGAGATGTGCTGGGTACACTGGAGCACGCTTGAAGTCGTACAGAGGTCAGCCAGGGGCTCCTGAGGTAGTAGGAGCCAACAGGGAAACACCAGTGAAATACCTCAGAGGAATTAAGGGGTGTTCCTCTAAGAAGGTGACATGGCCGACA